AGGGAGGGCATGTTCTGGGCTAATGAAGGGGCCTTGCTCTCAGGAAGGCCATGGCCAGACCCTTGTCCATACACATCCCTCAGTCCCTCAGACACCAAGGCCTGGACTGGCCGAGTTCAGCCATGCAGGGCAGGTATGGCCAGAATGCCAAGTGCTTCCAGCTCTGCCCAGCCCAGCCCTCATTTGGGACAGCTGGAGCTGCCTCCCCCATCCAGGGGGGGGGGGGGCGGGGATAAAAGGGGGGTCAGGCCTTAGTCTCTTGCTCTGCTGCTGCTGTTACTCAGGCCTAACTCCAGGGAGCCACAGCAGGGACGGGGTGCTCCCACATGTCCAACTGGCCCAGCAGACTTCCCACCCCTCCTGCCTGCTCTGCTTTGGGAAAGTCTGCAGTGGCAAGGCCTCCGCCCAGCTCCAGAGCAGGGCTGTGACCCTGCATTTGAGCGCAGGCTGAGTGAGCTCTGAGAGCTCTCCCCTGGCTTGCAATCAGTGTCCATCCCACACCCAGCTCTCCGACTCCCAGGTTCCAGGCCCTGAATGTATGGAGAGCAGGCTCCTCTCTCCCGCCCCCACACACTACCATCCTGCGGTCAGCACTTCCCCTGAGCAAACCCCAGCACCTCCCTCGGCCATTAACAGCCTGCTCTGCCTTAATGAATTGTGAGCACAGGCTGGCCATGAAGTCAGCCAGGAAAAGTCTCTGAGTGGCTGAGGCTTTTTGTCTGGACCCCATTATTGTCATGCAAATCTCCAGGCAGGGGGCCGGTCCTGCTGCCTTTTATGCAGGCTCCCTGGCACACCCCTCACTCAGGGAGCACACTAGCTGCCCCCTGACCAGGCGAGTCTTCCCATCCAGCCCACAGTGCACAGCCCCCTGCAGCCTGGAGAGCCAGGGAGATTTGGGTGCCTGGCCGGGAGTCCCGCCAGGGCCGGGAAGGAAATGTTGGAGCAATGGGCTGTAAGAAAAGGGTGATGTCAGCGGCAGTGAAGGAGCAGACAGTTCATCGGGTCCTTTGAAGGTGAGGGGACCCAGTAACTCAGCAGCGAGAGCGGAGGAACCTGGCTGAGTGCGCATGTGCACACCTGCCCTAAGCTGTTCTAACTCCTGCTGCTCACACAGCCCTCCGAGCGCAGAACCATGACATCAGAAGAGGAAGCAGAGGTAGAGAGCCAGTGCCTTACTCAGGCACACGAGGCTAGAGGATGAAGGAGGGTTCACACAGGCAGCCACCGAGTCCTTGCCTGACACTGCTAGTGGCCGCTGGGTGAGGAAAGGGTAACTGAAGGAGGAAGCCCCACAAATGCCTGGCTTTCCGTTACCCCGCTCTGGCCCCAACAGGCCAGTTCCTGGCCTGACAAAGTAGCTGCCCACTTCCTGATGGGCAGCCTGATGCCCATCTGGGAGCCTGTGCAGCAGAGCATGGAGGCTAGTCTGCCACCCTCCCCCATGTGGGCACACTCTGCTTGACCAGCCACCCGGCCATGCCCTCCTGTTCCTCAAGAGTGCCAACCCCACCCCCTGCCCTTCTCTGTGGCCCCACAGAGAGCCTCTGGGAGTGTCTGTCCTATGCAGACACCTCCGTTGGCACACAGACAACCACACTGGCACGGACATCTCAGACAGAGCACAGCCCCACACGCAGTCACAGTGCCAGGCCACATCTCTAAGCACCGAGTGGAGCTGTGGCATGTGCTGGGCCTTTCTAAGCTGGGCGGGTTGTCCAAGCCCAGGGTAATTCCCAGGCCGATCTGGGTTCCCCAGCTCTCCGAATGCCGCCAAACCTCAGGCCTCTACTCGAAACAGGTATCTCCAAGGAATCAAAACCAGTTGCTAGTTTGTAAGAAACCATGGTTCAGTTCCTCGCCACTCGCTCAGTGTGTGCGATTCCCAGCAAAGTGGCTGCTGCCTTCACCTTTTCTGGGCACTTTCCCCAAGACCTAAACACTGAAAGGCAGAGCCAGGTCCCTGCACGTTCAGGGCGGGGCTGAGGTCAGGAGCTGAGCTCACCAGCCCAGCCTGCCCGCCCACTGGCGGGGGGGGGGGGGGGGGGGGGTTGCATCACCATGCAGCAGCTGTGCGCTCAGAGGCCAGGGACCTGAGCAACATCAGCCCCGAGCTGCCCTGTCTGCCCGTATTCCAAAGGCACCCCTTTTTCCAGAGCCCATTCTAGGCAAGTGAGCTTGAGTTCCCATAAAATGCTAAAGGACCCAGCGGCCTCCAGGTCACTGCCGGCAGCACCTCTGAGCACTGCACTGGGGATGCCCAGCCATGCGCAGACACTCCCGGAGGCTCTCAGCACGTCCCGGGCAGGGACCACACACCTGTCACTCAGTGCCCAGAGCCTGAAAGCCAGAACCCCAGCGCAGAGGCCTTTAACATGTAACTACACAGAACGCTCCCCAGGCCGGGTCCTCGAGCCGAGGACAGGCCTGCGCCTCAGGGAGCAGCACTGGAGCGAGGGCAGGTGCGGGCTGAGGCCTTCCCGGGACACTTGCTGACTTCAGTGCAGGACTCGGTAGCCCACTGGGGCCCCTCAGCCCGAGGAAGGAGACGGCACTGGTTTGGTTCTAGAAGCTGAAAATCACTTTGACGTCTTTCTACTGTCATTTGCAAGCTGCTCGGGCCTGGAGCAGCGGGTTGGAATCTCAGCTGGGAGGGCTGTGGTGCTCAGCTCACACTGGCCTGGCCCCGGGCAGTCCCGGGAGCCTCAGAGCCGTGGGCTCAGAGCTTCCTCACTTGCCCCTACCAGCAGTGCAGCAGGGGAGGGAATGAATGACTGGTGTGGGGGAACGTAGAGAAGCCAGACTACAGAGGGAGACTGGCTCAATTAGACTTGTGAGCAAGTACCTTCACCTCCCTGAGCCTCAGCTTCTCTTTGGAAAAGAACAATGGGCTTGGGAGCCCAGAGGGGGCCTCTCGCACCTCTGCAGGGAGTCTTCCAGCTGCCAGGGCTGCCCCTCGGTGCCCAGCAGCCCCTGGGATGCTCAGGCCAGAGGAGAGCTTGGGTCAGCCACCTGAGAGGACAGTTGAGGTGAGGGAGGCTGCTTACAGCCCAGAGACCCTGGCACTGAGCCAGGCCCTAGGAACTCGGGGTTGGTGGTCTCTTGGGCCCCATTTGGGCTATGAACTTGGTTTCTGTAGCTTGAGGAGTGAGAAGATATGGCTGCAAGGTCAGAAAGCCATCGTGGGCCAGCCCCTCTTACCCATGCTCCCCAAAACCACTGAGCGTTAACCGCAGGGGTGCTTCGAACCTCACCGGCAGGCGCACACTTCACCCCAGGGCCGAGGCGGAGGCTGGTCCCCAAGCTCTCTCCGGGGCCTGCTGGGCCTGACGCGGGCTGTGGGACTGGGACTCCCAGCTCAGAGCAGCCCTTCCGGAGGCCCCCTGGGGTCGGCCTTGCAGAATGCAGCACCCACCAGGGGCAGCCATGCTCCCAGAGCCACCTGCGGCCCTGGCCCTCGCCGGGGTCCTCTCAGCACCCCCTACAAAGGCAAACTGAACTCAAAATCACCAGGCCGGCCGGCAGAGCACAGAAGCTGGCTTTCCTCCCTCCCAACAGGGCTTCGCCAACCAGAGGCCAGGCCGGCTGCTAAGGGGGCCAGCTGGGAGTGGCCAGTGCTGAGGGGGTCAGGGCAGCCGGGCAGGGACACTGCTGGGGGGTGGCGGGGAGGGCAGGCCCAGAGGAACTACATATCCAAGAGGACTCTTGGGAGAAGGAAGCAGAAAGCAGAGAGGGGGCGGGAGGGAGAAAACCCCTCACAAATGAGCAGCAGCGTCAGGCTGGTCCTACCCAGGGTTTGCCAGTTTGGCCCCAAAGACTTGGAGGCAACATGTGAAAGATGGAAAGATTCAAATAAAACTCCAGATTTATTCCCAGCTGATCCCCAAGTCCCTCTTGGGGGCTCCATGTGGCCACCGAGAACTAGTCACAGTCGCTGCAGGAAGCGCTGGGGGTTGGATGGCGCTGAGCCTCATCCCATCGTGCAGCTCCCTGACCGCCCAGAGGTGGCTCCGGGCTTTGGGGCTCCACCTCCCACGGTGGAAAGTCCAAACCCAGGAGCATGGCATTGGGGTCTTCAAGCTCAGGCCCCGCCAGGCACCTCCCGTGGGCACCCAGCATACCAGCCATCCTCCAGAAAAGCCTGGTTTTCCACCCCCAACACACCTCCCTCCCGCCCAGCATCTTTTCACGTGCTGTTGTTCCCTATCCCAGAATGCCTTTCTCTTCCTTCAGGACACTCCGTGGAGGCTCCATCACGCCCTCCTTCATCCCCCAGAGTCTAACCAAGAACCAGCTGGGGACACCTCAGGGGGGTGGGGGAAGAGCTGCCCCACCCTATTATCAGGAAGAAGCCTAAAGTTGCCCCAGCACCCCCACCTTCCACCCTGTGACAGGCAAGGCCTCAGGGGAACACTAACACGGACCCCCCACCCTCTCTGGGCCCAGCCCTGCTCCTGGCACACAGCAGCCTGACCCGTTGCAGGAGGAGGAGGTTTGGGGCCCCCCCATCCACGGGGGTGCCCAGAAATTCCGAGGGACAGCCCACAGGGTTCCTCTCTCCGGACCTGACAGATCACCCGAGTGGCTTCCACCCTCAGACAACAGCAGCCACTGATAAGACAGCAAATCTGACAGGGAGAGCCTCAGCCAGCTGGAGCTCCTGGGGCAGAGGTGCAGGCTCCACGGACGGACAGACAGACGGAAGGACGCAGAGGGGCCTGTAAGCCGGGGTGACTGCCCCTCCCAGGCCTCGCCTAGGATGTGCCAGGAGAATCTATGAGCACAGAGCGCCCCTCGGACGAGCCCCGTCAGACGCAGTGATCCTGAAACAGCCACCTAGTCCTCGGGCCACAGGGAACACAGCCGAGATGGCGTGTGGGAACGGACCCTGCATGACGGGTAGGAGGCGGACGCTGTACCAGCCCAGGCGCAAGCACGAGCTCGTGGAGAAAGCAGGTGGGCAGACTGTCACCAGGCTCCCAGTCCGCAGAGCCACTCACCTTTCAGGGACGCGACGTGGGACAGGGCCTGGGCGTACGTGGCCGTGTTCAGCAGGGTCCCCGGCAGGCAGGAGGGGAAGAAGGGTCCTGTGGGAGCCACAGTTCGCCCCAGGCTGGCAGAGAAGGAAAAGCAATGAGCTCCCAACCGACCCTGAGCGTCCACCGGGCAGCCCACAGGCCCCGGGGTCCCGCCAGGCTCACCTCTGCTGGGCCTCCAGGGCCTCCTTCTTGCTCCGGGCCTGGTCCCCAGGGGGTGGGGAATTGACATTTCTCACCGGGGGTGACGACACCTCTGCCATGGACTCCTTGGCTCCCGGCTCCTGGTCGGAGGACCCTCTCTCTGTTTTCCTCCACTTGGCCCTTCGGTTCTGGAACCAAACCTACATCCCCGATGGAAAAGCACACCCAGCAGAGGCAGAAGGTCAGACACAGCCCCAGGCCCGACCACCGTGCCCAGCCCTCCTGATCCACTCCCCTGGCCTCAAGGTCATCGGCCAAAGCAGTGCCCTGAGCTGCAGCCGCAGACCGACAACGGCCAGGTCAGTGTAGAGGGCACTGACGAGCATCCCTTCAGGAGTGGGAAGTCACAGAAAGCATCCAAGTGCATGCCCAGAGCCAAGGTGAAGTGTTGTTTTGTGGGAATTCTCAATGTGTGAGTACAATTATTTCCTGGAGAGATGGTTATCCTGAAGCCATTTATAAAGCACTGCTTGGGGTTTTCTTGTCAACTATACCCATTGGCACTTCCAGCTGGTTGCCCTGTGCACCTGAGTGTCTGCCTCACACATGCGATGACCCCTGAAATCGCCTCTTGCACATGATGACACATGTGTGAGCAGCGGCCCACTGGACACGCTGACTCTTGGGTCCTTTCTGGTTTAGAACTCTGAACCCCGGCATCTTGTCCAGGGTCCACTGCAGTCTATGAGGAGACAGCCCACCGTCTCCACTTCACAGGTGAGAAAACTAAGCACAGAGGTCAGGTAGCTTGCTCAAGGTCGTTCAGGGGGTAAGTGACAGATCCACAACTCGAAACCCAGGGGCCATGACCCAGATAAGGTAATGATAGTGGCCACCTCAGCGTTATTAGGCGACAACAGATGCACAAAACACTGGGCTCGGTACCTGGCAAAGAGCAACCCATCACTGGGTCAGCGTTAGCTGGTGTTACCATCTCGGCCACCCTCAGGCTGGGAGGCAGGGAATAGGATTTGCCTGCTCTAAGGGCCTCCCTAGAGGCGGGTGTGGGACCCTTGAAGCCTTGGAAGCCGAGGCTGCATGTGCAGGAGAGCGGCCTGGCCAGGTGTTTCCAAAGGTCACTGAGGCCCGCTGCTCTTCACCCCTTCTCCCGGAGACAATTCCCGGCTTAAAGAACAAGGCTCCGTCACACTCCCTCCTGTTCCCAGGGCGTCCCCTCCTCCTGCGACTGCCTGGCCTGGTCCGGAGGCTGAGCCCTGCCAGCCCACCCGCCCCGAATTTCAGCCTCCTTTCTCGGTCCTGCTTTCTCTCTTTTTAAATCTCGTTGGCTTTTAATTGCACATATCAGCAACTGTTGAATAATGATTTTATCTATATTCTAAATTTAGGGCAGTTAAATGCAAAGCAAAATGCAGACACTTTCTTGCGTCTTAATTGAATGAAGGTCACAGCTATGACAACATTTAATTGAGCTATTTTTCATTATCATATTTTAATGACTTTGCACTGACAGTTCGCCTGCTTCTGAGGAAAGAGCATGATGGAGTCGTTTATTTCCCTATTTAGTTATTGTTTGACAACATCAGCTTCGATTAAGGCCCTGCTTTATAGAACATTAATCATATTTGAATGAGCAAGCAGTGTAAATGTAAACACATCTCCTTCCCGCCCGGCCTGCAGCGGCTCCCCGCACAGGGCTCAGAAACAATGCTTCGCAGCCATTGTCTGTTTGCATAATGGCCAACAACAGCTCCACAACAATCCCCAGCCTTCATTGTCACCACCCCTATCTCACCCTTGCACCTTTCAGGGAGAAGTTATGATCTTCCACTTCTGAATGCTCAATAATTGTGTCATTTATCTCAATTTGCAGTGCGGTCTTTAGGCAGCTATTGGCAAGCTGGCATTAGAGAAAGAAAGGAGAGACAGCATCCTGGCCAAAGGAGATTTTCATTTCCAAATAATAATCAGTTTAATTTGCCCACATATGACCAATGATTCATGTTCAGATTTAATCATCAGGATCACATAATCTGATTATAGGGGAAATAATTTGTTTACAACCCCCAATTTACTGTTCAGAATTCCATTATCTCTCTTCAGCCATTGGTTTTTAAGAGATACTAACATGACCCAGGGGAACCGAGAGCAAACTATTATATTTCCTACAATTAGATCTTTGCATAGCCTTAACCCCAAGCCCCTACATAAAAAAAGGAACAAAAACAGCACGGAGGAACCCCCATAAATAAAATGAATCTATAATTGTGCTCAAAGACTAGCTGCCTGGAGAGGCGACACTGTGCGTGCGCCCCCCAGAGCGCGGCACATCTGCTGGGCTCGGCGGTCTGTGCACTTGAAGGAAACCGCCGTGTGGCTTCTGAGAGAACGCCTGCTTCGAGCCGGTCGCTGAGGCCACGCTCAGCCCTCAGCAGCCCTTTCGCTGCCGCCCTCTAAAGATTTTTAAATGGCACACGTTCTCCGGATTCACTTCCCTAAAAGAGCCCGCGTGGGAAGGGGGGGGGGGGGGAAGTTGGCCATAATGCAATTTCTGGAAAGCAGATCCTAACCCCGCTCCCATCTGAAAACACGGTTCTCTGCAATTGACTGGCCTTCGCCCGGAGTGGTCAGAGCGGCTTTGAGAATAGCATCTCAGCTCTTTTTTTTTTTTTTTTTTTTTCCAAAGCAAGGAAATGGATGTGCATTGATGTAATTTAGTACCTTAGAGACGCGGACAAATTAGTGTAGAACATTATCACTAGTTAATTATGAATGACCGATTAATCAACCTAATCTAATATTCCACATTATGTTGATGTTATTAAAGTGCATCATGAAAATGACAGATAGTCTTCATTTGCTTTCTTTGGCCAAATGTGCACTCTGCAGTCATGATGTCAAAAAAAAAGTTTGCCAGTTTCAATATCAGGGAGTTAAATAATTGAGCAGAAGGCTCACCTGCACTCTGGCTTCCGTGAGGTTTATCTTCATGGCCAGCTCTTCTCTGGTGAATACATCGGGGTAGTGCGTCTGGGCGAAAACTGCCTCCAGAGCTTCCAGCTGGTAAAAGGAAGAACTATTTACTGATGAGAAGCTGTGGCTAGATGAGAGGAAGCAGAGGCATATTTCACATTTGCTAACGGTGGTGAGGAGGCTGTTTCACAGATCAGATTGGGACAGAAGAGGGGGGAAGAGCTGTTTGAAGAGATCCCACAGAATTAAAATTTCAACCACTGATAACTTAGGAGCTAAGTCTTGCTAACAACCTCAATGCTGCCCCAAGAAGCAGAAGTAAGAAGAGAAGTGCAAATATTTATATGTTTGCTTTTCAATATATTCAGAAGAATCAAAACGGGAGATGGCCTTGTGAGTGAGAGCCATCTGCACAGCCTCCTCCAAGGGCGTAGGAACAGTACCTCCTGCAGCTGCTCCCGCCAGTCCCACAGACTGCAAGGGGGTGAGTACTTCCTGGCTCCAGTTCGATCCAGAAGTTGAACAGGTCTAAGAGCACGGCTAGGCCGGGCAACACAATATCAGGGTTGTGACTGTAGCCCTTCCATTTAGGGCAACAATACCTCCTACAGATCCGTCAACTTCTTAGGTTCCAGCCTTCTCATCTACCGACCCAAGGACAAGCCGGTCCTGCCTGCCTGCTCAAGGTTCAAATGACATTCCTGATGCTAAAATGCTCCCCAAACTATCAGCCCCGGGCGAATGGTGCAATCAGTATTGCCTCTTCACTTTATCTGGGATCATAGGTCAACGTCCTCTGCCCTCTCCTGGAAGTAGGTTCCTTGACACATACATTGTTTGAGAAAACAGAAGGATCCAGTTAACAGAATCGGTTGGCCTTACTCTAAAATACAGAGGAGAACAGCTGAGACTCTGATTTTCCTGGAGGCGGGAGGCAGCTACCTTGCAGACAACACCGCCATTACCTGCTGAAGCGTGAACGTCGTCCGGTTCCGGCGCTGTTTTCTCCGCAGGAACCCATCGTCAAAATCTCCGGGCGGGTGGTTGCCAAAGGGCGCAGTGCCTGCTGGGAGCAAACGGGGTCAGCCTGAGCAGGTGACCCCCAGACTCACGCCTTCCCCTGGCTACACAGGCTCATCCAGGGCATCAGCCCGTCCCCTCCAGACAGAGCTCTAGCTGCCCCAAAGGATCTTTCTCTGCTCCTCTTATTAACCCCTTCTGCTCCACTCCCTTGTGCTCTCTCTCTCCCCCAATAACTTAGACTTTAGCCCAACTATGCCTATTTCATAGGGTGGGAGGCGACCTTACTTCCCAAGACAGCAAAGTTCTCCTCTAGAGAAATTCAGGTCTCAAGCAAGGGCCAGTGTCTTGAGGTGGAGCCTTCATCCACCTCCCAGGTCCCAGGTCCCAGGTCCCAGGTCCCAGGTCCCAGGTCCCAGGACCCAGCTGCACTCTGTCGCATGCACCTCACTCCCCGCCTCAGAGCCTGGCATAGAAGCTGCTGCTTCCCTTTGGTCACCTGTTAGTCTACTTGCCTGTATCTCTATAAACAACTAGGGCTAGAGGCTGTGGGTGGGAAAGGAAGGAAAACACCAAGAGCTTTTCACAGCACTTTTCTCCTAGAACTTCAGCACACGACGAGGCAAGAAGTCACAGACGAGTATTGATTATCATTGGTCACAGCTCATCAGCACTGTAGCGGGTCCGTTACATGGATGTCAGTGCCAAGAGCTCTCCCCAATAGTGGCTGTCCTGAATTCCCGCAGACCTACACAGGGCCGCTCTCAGAGGGCACCCCGCCCTCTGGCCTCGCTCAGCAAGGGCCCTGCTTCTGCTTCCCTGAAAAGGGCATCCTCCCACTGTACTCCCCGCAGCCCCCATAGCGCCTATAAAGCCGGAACAGACTTTGGCCCCAAATGTGCATTCAGATCATTTTCCAAATGTGCACCATTTACTTGACAGTCCACAATGGCTCCTTAGGAAAACAAATGAGCAAGTTCCCATTAGCCAGTGAATGCTGTACCTGCCATGGGCCCTGGGCTCAGAACCACCGCGCCTTCGGCATTAGGAGCCCGCGAGCCGCAATGCCAGGACAGCGTCCCTCCGAACGACCTCAGTCCCAAAGAAGCAAGACCCTTTAGGCTTTAAAAAGCTCCATCTACTAACGGGAGCCTCTCCTACTTATTATTCTACTCTCCAGGGCCACGCAGTTTGCCATAACACCGCACTCTCTGCTGATACCCTCTCCCTACTTCCTCCTGTCCACGCTGCAATCTTCTTCAAAACCCTAGTTACAGATCTCTCTCCGGTTCACTAGGAGCTTAAAGGAGCAGCCTCGTGGCAGTCGAACTCCCAGTCTCTGCTTCCTTGTGAAACAAAGTGAGGGTGGGACTCAACCTCTGAGGTCTCCATCACCATCAGCCTCAGGCTCCTGGTTTGCTCCCGCTGGTCCCGATGGCTCACCTCGGACGCACACAGGACCTTAATGAAACACTGCGCATCCAACTGAACCTTACAAAAGGCTGACGCCTTGTCAAATTAATAAGAACAAAGATTGACAACCCAATAGAAAAGAGGAAAATATGGGAAGAGCCTTTTACTTAAAAATAAGTAGAATGGTCAACAATGGATACAAACATTAAACCTTGCTGACAATTAAACAGAACAGAACCATTCATTATTATTTCCACCTTGTTTTTTGGCAAAAAACAAACAAACAAACAAACAAAAAAAAACATCAGGGGTCTCATGATGGGAGTGGACTGAAACGTGGCTGCCATTCACCTATTTGTAGCAGCATCTGTGGGTGTAGCGTTGTTAGGGGTAACGACCATTTTTGTCAAAAATGTAAGTGTACATACAGACATTTAATCCATGGATATTTTTATAAAGGGTGGCAACATAGAGAGAGAAGAATGATCCTGGCAACACTGTAATAAAAATAACCTGGAAACAACCAGCATTCCCACCAGGACACTTCTGCTCGGCACCTGGTGGAATACTACATGGCTATTTAAAATAAGTCAGAAGATCGGGGTACAGCAACATGGAAAAATCCTCCCAAAATTTATTCTGCAAAGAAAAAAGCAAAGTCCTGAATGACTGGTAGTATGATTTCAGTACAAACAATGCGTAACACAGAGAGAAAAATAAATGATGGTAAAAGCCTGTGAAGGAATAACAAGAAACCAGCAACAAGAAGTGCTTTTCAAAAAAAGGAAAACAAGTGAAAGAGGATTTCACTTTTCACTTAGGTTTCTGTTCCATTTTAATGTCCTAAGCAGCTATAAGGAGTACTTTTTAATTTAACACCACAAAAAAATGGCCTGAGAAGTGCGATTCTGAACCATGCTGTGCTTTCTACTTCATGCCTCTTCGGATTAACAAAAAAATAAAATTGAAAAGCTGACGGGCTACAATGCGATGTCATATTCCAAATTCTGTTCTCAGCCTTCCCCTCGGCAGCAGATCACCTTCTCCAGCAACGCTAGTCCTACGTCTGCAGAACTGGCTTAGAATCATCTGCGGAGATAAAACCAAAGGTTCTGAAGGAACCAGCATAGAGACAGCGTGTGCCTGGGTGTGGGTGAGAGGGAAGTTCACTGGGCGGAATGGGCGCAGTAAGCAGCTCAGTGTGTGGAGGTAGGACCTCATGACCAGCTGGTTGAGGACTCCGTGAGTGGCTTCTGCCCTGTGCCTGCGGACAGGGCTTTTCCCATAAGCCATCCACACAGCCCACCACCTGCTTAGTACCCCAAATCTCAGCCTTCCTCACTCTGACCAGAGGTGGGCCACTGGGCATCCATCACTGAGCCCAAAGTTCAGAAAAGCAGGGGGGATTTGTCCACCACACATTCAGAGGGCCTCCCTTCAGCCCAGTCTGATGTAAGCAAGGAACCTCTCCAGCCTTTCCATAAAGCCGATCACCAGGTCCTCGGAGGTAAAAGGAGGTGAAATGCAGGTGAGTGTCTGGCCTTTCCTTCTTAGAAATGCTGACCTAGCGGCAGGGCTCCACCACGGGTCCCCATCAGCCGCCTCTAGAAAACCCTACTGAGCTGTCCAAGCCTCCCTGGGAGCATGAACTTCTGCAGTCCTGTGGGGTCCCAGCCGAGGCTCAGCCACTGCGGAGGTGGCCAGAGCAAGGTGGACCAGCTCCTTTGATGTCTCGGTGCCTCACCCCTCTGTCATGCCCATGCCTGCCTCATTTCTGGGTCTCCAAAAGTCTTCCGTTCCACAAATACAGCAAAGGAGGAGGTTGCCAAAGCCAAGTACTGGTATTACTCCCACAGTTAGAAAGTCCTAACTGCCCCATGGCTGGGACCACTGCTCTGCCAGGCCCTGGCCCATGCTTACCCCCCTGTGTGGAGGGAGGGCCCACTCCTGGAGATGTCCCTTCCCCCCCTGGGGGCACCGAGAGCCTTGCTGTCCCCTTCTCACCTACCCCCACCTAACAACTCAGTACAGAGCCCGCCACAGGGACCCTAAAGGGAATGTCTTTTAAATCCTGGAGACCCTCAAGGACCCAAATCCTGGCCTGGGGCTGCCCCGGAGTATCAGTGGTGGCTTGAGGTCAGAAATCCAGTGAGTCACCGCGATGAAGCCAGGCAGGGCCTCGGGCCTCTGGTGGCCAGGGCCGGCTGGTTCTGGGAAGGCCAAGGTGGCCGGGAACAAACCCTGGCCGCAGCCGGCACAATATTGGCGGTGCCGGTGCAGGTGTCGGCGAGAGCAGCCTGCAGGGGTGGTTCTGACTCTTGGTCTGACCCAGGACAATTTTGAACCAACTCCTCAGTTCACCTTGTTTTTTCGGGATGTTTGCAAAATACCGTGAAAGATTGATGTGGCCCCTGGGTGGGGGGCGGGGGTGGGAGGGGAGCGATTAGAGGCGTGACACCGGCATCTGTGCTGGGAGGACCCTGCCGGCTCCTGCGGCAAAGCCCGAGGCCGGGCTCCGGCGGCGGGGAGAGGTGGGAGGCAGGTGGCAGCTGGCGGGAGGTTGGAGCGGGACCCGGAGGGAGCCACGGGCGCCCCTACCCCCGTCCAGCGGCGGCCCCCGGGCGCGGCGGGGACCCGGCCACCCGCCAGCCCCACCGGCGCCGGGTCCCTCCCTGGCCGCAGGCTCTCCGTGCCCGGCCGCGCTCACTCACCCTCGAGCTGCGGCGGGCAGTGGAAGTAAAACATCGCCGACGGCGGGGCTTCTGGCTCCGGCCGCTGCAAAGCAAACGCAACAGTCAGTCTCCCTCCCAGGCCCGGGCCCGGCCGCCGGGAGCGCACCGAGCTCCACCCGGAGGCGCCCTCCCCGCGCCCTCGGCCACTCCGGGGCGTGGAGAGGGTGACGGCGCCGTTCCCAGCAGGTCCCCGCGGGGTAGCCCTCCATTCGGGTCACCTCCCCTACCCCCGTGCTCGCCCCGGCCCCGAGGACTCAACCCGCTCAGTGCCTGGCTCTCAGGGTCCCCGGAGCCAGTGCTGCGCCCCGGCCCCCGAGGCCGGTCCTCTGCGCGAACGGCCCCGCCGGAGAGCCGAACCCCAGGCCGGGCGCGGGTGCGGAGAGCCGGCCGGGAGCCGCGTACCTCGGCGGGCGGCGGGCGGCGGGCGGCGGGAGCGGGGCGGGAGCGGGGCCGCCCGGGCCGCACGGCTGGCGGAGGGCGGAGGCGGGCGGGGCGCAGCCGGCGCCGCGGGCCCAGAGCGCGGCCGGGGAAGCGGCCAGATGTCTCGCTGTCTGTCTACAGCGCGCACCGCGGCCCGGCGCTCGCCTTTATAATCTCACGCATAATTGGCCTTAATCTGATTATTTCCAGCGCTGTCTACAGCGAGTAACTTGGATAGGTCTATGGGGCCTTACAAATGGCCCACGTGGTGTAAAAAAAAAATCCGTCATTTCTCAGCAAGCGCCGGGAATCTTTTCCCTCGCTTCTTTTCCAAGAGGATAATAGTAACAACCATCCCTCCCGCCTCCCTCGCCAAAAGGCAATGTTTTCTTAACGCTCCGCCCCACCCCCACCAAGTCCCCGGACGCAAACCTGCTTTCTTTCTCCCGGAGTTTGGACGCGGGCGCGCCCGGTCCCCGGCTCGCGGCTCCGGCTTCCAGTTAACAAAGCGCCGCTAATTTTCGCCGCCCGATGGGTTTTGGGGGGACTCTTGGCACACGGCTTCCCTTTCCAAGCGGCCGTACAGAAGGAAAGTTTGATTTTGTTCTCAGCAAGGGGTCCCTCGATTTATGGCTGCTTCTCCGTGCAAATGATCTGCGGTGGGACCCTCCGCAATTACTTTTAAAACGCATCCGAGGCAGCGACTCAGCGGAGAGGGACCGCCCTTCCCTCTGCCCGGGCGAAAATTAAACTCCAAAGCACCGGGCTGGAATTTTCAAGTCAGGGGCGCGGGATTGGATCAAATCACATAAACTGCAAAAAAAGCAAGTCTAATGGCGCATAATTGGTTCTGTAATAGCATTACACCAGGATAATAGCCCGTTACGGCCCCCTGCACTATTAAGTGCTTCCCTGGCGGAAAGCCTTTATGATATTAAAGGGGGAATATAATGATATTTTGGTTATTAAATGCGTGTAATTAATTTATGCACCACTGAAAATAAAGTTGGTATTATGACCCACTCAAGATGCATCAGAAGACGCAAGTCAGACAACTGTTGATAAGTTCTGGTGTCTGTGTTCCGTCTAGACTGCCGGTTTTATTTCGGGCCGATGGCTTCTTGGACAGACTGCATAAATTGAATATTTTATAAACATTCTAATGCTGAGGCCGCGGCCAGGCGGGGGGTCGCGTCCGCGCACCGCCCCGGATCAGCCTGGACCTCACCGATACCGACACGACAGGGCGCTGGAACAAAGGTCCGGCCGCCCGCTCCGGAGGGCGCCCCGCTGGAGGGCGGCCGGCGCTGGCCGCCGGGACCCGCTCGGAAAGCCGCCTGGTCCAGGAAGACGCGGCACCCCTCCCGGAGGCCCGCGGAGCCCCTGCGGCCCCCGGGCAGTGCCCGCGGCGCCGGGAGTGGGCCCGGCACACGGAGGAGCCGCTGGAACTCGGCTCGGCACCAAGAGGACAGCCCGCGGCGCGGCTCCGCCAGCGCGGGCAGCACGCCGGCAGGCCGGGGCGGATCGGGGCAGGCGGGGCCGGGGGGCAGGGGGAGAGCCGGGCCCACTTCACCCAGAGGGGCCGGATCTGTCCCCGCCCGGGCAGGAGGCGCAGCTCGCGGCCGCGGTCCTCTCCGAGGACCTGCTCTTCGGAGCCCCTTCTAGGAGCCCAGGCTCCCCTCGTCGCCGAGTCTGCCGCCGGCTCCCGCCCCGGCCCCGGCCCCGCGCCCCGAGCCTCCGAGCCGGCGCCGGGCAGCGAGGCGAGGCCGCGCCGGGCGCTCAGCCCCGGGCGCACTGAGGTCTGTGCGAGGGGACTCGGCGTCAGGCGCCGACGCCATCGAGGTCCCAGCTGCAGCCTCGGCGCCCGTCCCGACATCTGCTGGGCACCGGGGTCCAGGCGCGTCCCCGGCGGGACAGGCTGTCCTGGGTCTGCGGGCGGCACTGCGCCTCCCGGCCGGTCACACCCTGTCCGGCGGGGCGCGTCTGAGGTCCTGCTGGGGCCTGGGCTGCCGGCGGCGGGTCCCGCCTGCTGATCCCGGGCGTTGGGACCCGCTGGCATTCTCTCGAGTCCAAACCCCAAGAAAGTGACGGGACGCGCGCTGAGAGGTCCCATCAGGGACCGGGCTCTCCATCCCGCTTCCCCCGCGCAGCTCCGGGCCCCGCAGCTCCCGGCCCTCCCCGGGGGTCTCCCCAGGCTGGCCTGCCCGCCTCCCTGGCCGGGCCACCAGCCGGGCTCCCCGAAAACACGCACCTCCCCTGGTGGATACATGTCATTATACTTTTGTTCAAACCCGCTTCAACCGACGTCCCCTCCGCCCCAGCCGCGTGGCGGGCTGTTCCCTTTACAAAATAGCGAATAAACAAACCGCCCAGCAGAGTCGGTAGGGAGAGGCTCCCGCACACTTTGATGGCGGGAAACCCCTCTTCCCTCGGATTGCCTCGCACAGCCCGGCCAGGGAGAAGAAGACTAAATATGTACATTCCCTACCGTCCTCCCCACCCCCAACCCCACCCGGGGGAAAGCGTTAGTAACAAAAAGGTTATTTTTCCTTAATTCTGTGCCGTAAAATGTATTTTCCAATTAACCAAATTCACCGATCTGTCCCGCTTGGACATTCCGATGATTTACAACCTAAAAGTGTACTTTCTTTATCTAAAGACCAAGGTGACTGCTTTTAATTTCCTCTAACCTCTTTACACTTGATGTTCACCAGCCTCATAATGTTAATTGGCTTCATATACGGATCATCAGTTTAATGAAGAAATAAATCCTGTGTTGCTTTATGTTTTAACAGTGATTGCTTTAATGAGGAATGTGACGTGTTCCCAAACCAAAGCTACAGCAGACATTAGAGGGGCTTCTGTTAGGATGGCAGGGCTGCAAGTCAAAACCGCGGGTCGTATTTCAGCAGATCCTCATGGAACCAGCGTCCTTCCTACCCCCTGGACCGCTTCCAGCCTCTGGAAGGAGGCGCTCTGTGCTCCTTCTCCCTGTTTAATGCTCAGGCTCCATTCCCTGTAAGAATAATTTTCTGATTGCTAAACCGGTGGCTACACTGCCTCTGTCCAGCAGAGCAGAGAAACAGACAGGGCGGGGAGTTCAACTTTCAAGGTTGCTCACTTAAAAAAAATAAATAAATAAACGTGGGACGAGAGCCACACAGCCCCTAATGTCTATGCGTGGGGAGCAGGCAGACACAGCCCTGCTTAGGCCGGGTGCGAGGAGTTTACATCTCCGCATCAATTAATGGGAGGGGAAACCTGCTTTCTCTAATGGGTGTTTGATTTTTCTAATTTTAAACTTGTTCCATGAAGGGAAAACTGTCATCTCAAAAACCCTGAGAGCAGCAATAAAATGCTGGAAGTTGAAGCTCCGTGTAAGCCCTAAATTGTCTTTCAGTTGGAATATGAATTATTTTAAATTGATTCCTGAAAAGAACCTTAAATCCTTAGAAAATGTGGGGCTTGAAGGCTCTAGGTGGATGGCTCAGACGCCGGGTGAGGTGTCCGTTTCTGACAGTTTGCTTGTTTTAGGAAAGCTGGAGAGTCATTGGAGGCACCTCGGTTACCATCTTCTGAGCATGTATGTTGGACTTGACATGTAAATTGTTCTCAGAAGAGTTCGTCCAGCCTCCCTTTTTAAGCTTTCCTTCACAGAAACCATTTCAGTGAGCTTGTTTACAATCCCGACAATGGGGTACAGCAGATAAGATACTCCAATTTCAGGAAGAGAAAACACACCAAATTCCTAATTCTGCAAGGGTTCTGGCAGCTTGTAATATTGTTAATAAAAATTTTATTGTTATTAAAATCTCATGGCCACACGGCTCTCCCAGGCAGGAAGTGCCGTGTGCCTCCTCAGTGTGGATGCCACATTCCATTGTCATGCAGTTTTGGAAATTGCCAAGAAAGCTGGGGTTAGCTAAATATGATGGACTATGTGGAGGGGAAACAACAGTTAATTGAAATTCCAGATGAACAATGGAGTATGAACAGCACACACACACACACACACACACACACACACAACAGGGATAGATCTGAGTTTTCTTATCTTGGAAATCCCCTCTCATTCATTACTTTTACTGTCACATAGAGAGTAAAAGCAGCTACTTCGATGCAAGCCAACTTCCAATAGCTTCGCGGGCAGTGGCCACAGCACAGTGTTTCCTTGTGGTTCCTGAGGAACCGCACAGCCAGCCCAGGCCGCCTGGTCTGCGCAGGCCAGGAAGGCGCTGCACCAGGCAGCGGGGCACAGTCTGTGCTCACCTCCCTCCATGGAGCTGGCCCCCGTCCTGGGAGCCGCCTGAGCTTGAGCAAGTCCCCTGGTCACTCAGGACCTCGGGATTTCCTCTGGGAAGGGGGACAGAAATGCCTACATCCAGGGCTGGTGAGAAGGTTGAAAACAGTGCTAGAGGGTGTGTAGGGCAGTGAACATATTTTGTTTGCTACCACAGTGGGGAGTACATGTCATTATGCTTTTGTTAAAACCCATAGAGTATATGACACCAGTGAACCCTAATGTAACTATGGGCTCTGGATGAGTATGATTGTCAATGATTATAACAAGTGCACCCCTCTGGTGGGAGATGT